CGCCCTCTCCTCTCTCAGGCCAGCTTTGCCCTTTCCTCTCTAATCTTTCCGCTACACTCCTGGGTCTCCTTCTCCCCTCAGTAAGAGGGCTTCTCCAGCTTTCTCTCTGTCCTCTTTCTCTCCGCCTCCTCATGAGGAAGCATAAGCCTTTCCTGCCTCTACTATCCCATGGCCTTCTTTCCCTTGTATATCTCCCTACCCTTCCCCTTTTCTATTCCCGGCTTTTCCAGAAGCTTCTCTACCTCCCCCACTGTTGTCGCCTCCTTTTCAGGCAACAGGTCTTCCCTCTCTCGAAGCTCTTCCCACCTCACATAACAGTCCTGACCTGTCCCCCTTTCCTCCTCCTCCCTGTTTGTCGAGAGGGAAGGAAAGAAGGAGTGGGAGGGGAGAGGACAGGGGGGCTGCATGACTGCATTGCACCGTCCCCGTCAATAGGTGGACCCCTCCCAGCCCCATAAAGCCGCTGGAGTTGAAGCTGGCAGCCTCTGCTGTCTGAGATCGCAGCTGCTGGTAAGCACGCTTGGAGTGGGGCTGCAGAGGACAGCTAGGGCTGCCCCCCCATGCAGCCCAAACCAAATGCATGTGCGGCCCAAACCAGATTTTCATCTTCTAATGTGGACACCCCTGCTCTACAGTATTAGCAAGATTTGTTGTTGTATTTGTGGTTGACCCTGAGGTGATCCACAGCATTGGATTGTTGTTTCTTTGTATTCCTGTTTTTTATAGTCAAATAGATTGCTTTTGCCTCTCCTTGTTTGGAAGGCAGGTTTGCTTTTTCTGCAGAAGAAAACATAGTCCAATTAATGTGCAGAATAACAACTTGCTCCTCTATTAATTCCCTTATGTGAAGTAAAGCCATGCTAACAAATACCTTTAAATGTTTTATCTGTATTGATTGTTTTGAAAAGGATGTGTTTCACTGATAGTATTTCTTTCTGTAGACCTGCTGGCTGGGACAATGAAAAGAAAATTGCAATACTTCATGAAAATTTCACAACAGTGAAACCAGAAGATTCATATGAAGACTTCATTATAAAACCACCTATAAGAAAGGTATAGCAGCTTTGAAGTAGACATTGCTTTCTCCTGCATGCAGTGCTGCTACCATGTTTCACTGAAAATAAGACATGGTCTTATATTAATTTTTGCTCCAAAAATGCTTTAGGGCCTATTTTCAGGGGGGGGGGGTGTTTTATTTTTTTTCATGAACAACCATCTGCATTTATTCCAATGCAGTCATGTCATCTTCTTCTGGTTGCTGCACAAGGGTGGAGGGTGGGGTTTCACTTAACTGGGGCTTCTTTTTGGGGTAGGGCTTATATTACAAGCATCCCGAAAAATTATACTAGGTCTTATTTTCAGGTTAGGTCTTATTTTTGGGAAACAGGGTAGTAGGCATCGCACTGAGCTCCATATCCTAAAATGTCTGAGGCAGTAATTTGACTGTACTGTACAGTAATTTGGCTTCATATTTTTACCAGTTGGTAATGCAACCTTCACTCTTGCAGTGTTTCAGGGAATATTTCAGGGAGGCAGGCAGGCTTACTTACCATGTTTTTCCGTGTATATGACACTACTTTTTTCTAAAATCATTACACTAAAAATTGACGGGCGTCTTTTACACGGAGGTAAGCTGAGATAGCTGAGGAGAGAACAAAACAGTCCATACCTTGCCTCTGTAAACAGGCTTCCTTCAGTTACAAGGCTTAGGTTCCTGTAGTCCGGAGACTTAGCTTCCTCCAATCATGAGCCTTATGGAACTGATGTCAGCTGACCCTGAACAAACCAATTGGAACACACCATCTTGGAGGTGGAGCCTGTAGGCTCAAGATTCAACACAGCCTCAAAATGTCCAATGTCCTGACCTCAGAGGCTGAATCCTCAAATCTCAATTTTGGGGTTAGAAAAGTGGGGGGGGGTG